CGTTTGCCAGGAATTTGGGGCTCTCGCTAAAGAAGTATAGCAGCAAAGCGCCGATGCCAAGCGGTAACGCCATCACCAGCGTCAGTAACCGCCATGGACGATACACTATGCCCAGTAATGGGATAGAGAAGTCCAGCTTGGTGATGAAGTAGCCCCATACTAAAATAAAGTATCTATAACAATTAGTGGGGAGATACCAGTTACTTTATATGAAAATACGAAAAACAACAGTTATTGTTGAGATATTCCTTTTAAAATTGTTTAAACTTTCAGTACTCAGCCGCGGTCCGTCTCTTTATGGTTTACGTTTTCTATATTTTCATGAATAGACAGATACCCAATAATTGTAAACGAGGGTAAAGGGATGATGAATCGATACCAGTAGTACGTACTGTAGTATAGTGTAGGTGTAAGCATGAGGGCGCTGGTCATAAGCAACATGTATCGCGCCCGAGATCGCGAGTTACAGCACTCGCCAAGCAGCGCGTACGTCGCTGATTCCGCCGCACTCGACCTGCATCCACATTTTAAAGAATATTATTAATGTAGTAACGTATTATTGAATTTATCTAAATAGCACAGTTTATCTAGGATAAAAACAATGAAGATGTCAACATGTCAACGAAAGAACGAGACGAGTCTATCAAACTGTAATCTTATCCAAATTGACCAAAGAGGGTGTCGCGTGTGCGACGAGCAGGGGATTTCCATTGTCTAAGCACATGTTCAAAAACATTGCTATCTCAGTTTTACGATAGATAATGAAAAACCGGTTTGGTAAAGTTGATGTATACATTGACATCTAGAATTTTAAGAAACAAATTAAATAGAAAACGTAGTAGTTAGTAAACAGTGAGATAATTTGTTATTCACTAGACGCTTTAGCACAAATTATCTTCGGTATTCGCTAATTCTACACGCTTGGCGTGAAGTGATGTCTTTATTATTTAACACAATACTATTTGAATAAATATTGAGACCAATTTTAGTATAAATGTATACTAGTAATTACCATCGGTAAAACATTTCTTATTTGCTGATGAACACACACACACACACACACACTATATACAAAAATGAGTAAATTTGCATTGTTAAAAAAATCGTTAGTTTTTTACTTCACAGCTTGCACGCCTAATCGCGCCATTCGCGCCTAATCCTTGTTTTTTTTTTAAATCAACATTACATCCATTGCTTTCTTGGTGGCCAGTACAGTATTAAATATTCATCTAAAATATTTTTGCAACTTATAATTTTACAATTAACTTCTTTATAAAACATGTTCATATTTAATCTAAATATGCTTTTACCTATGAATGAATTAAAATATATTTACAATTGTTGTCAGCGCCATCTATTGTCAAGTATTCCTTAACCAATGTCTAACAGATTGTAAAGTTTCATTTGTGTAAAAAAAGTTTACGCTTAGCAATGCAAAAGTATTTTTATTTTATAATTACGTACAACTGTAATGAAAAACTTTACGACCGGCAGTTATTTCGACAAAAACATTGCTATTTTCGCGCAACAGGAAATTCAATTCATTGTTATTTTTACATTTGCATTACTTTATTAACGTTGTTTTTGTGTAAAAATCTATTTGTATAAGTTTCTGTGATAGCTAGATGCTATTTTCAGTAGCATACAAGGAAGTACTGATGTACATACATGGCTGAGCTGATGAAGCGTAGCGCGGCGAGGACCTGCCAGCTAGGCGCTAGGCTGCTGAGAGCGGCGCTCACAAAGCTGCCGCACATCGCATACATGAGGACCAACTTGCGCCCTCTCGTGTCTGATAGGTAGCCCCACGGGTATGACATCACTATTATACCTAAAACACAAATGAATATTACATATGTATACTATGATTGCCTTGTCTGACATTTAAAGCTACAATCACTGATTCAAGTTTCTGATTTTTAGCTCCTGTTACCGCAATCGTTCCTATTTTTTTATGTTTCCAATAATTGAAAATCTATCATACCAATATTTTTTTATTCCACGCGCAAGGAATCGCGGGCGATAGTTAGTACTACTATGAAGATGGAAGATTTGTATGTATTAAAATAACTCAAAAACTGCTTGGCTTAAAATATCCATCACCTTTTGTAAGCAACATTATGACGCGGTAACATAGGCGATATTTTTTTACAACTTTTTGTATTCTACGCGAACGAAGTCGCGAGAAACAGTTAGCAATAAGGTTGTTAATACAATATTTAGCTATGATGCTAAGTAAAGTAGGATCTATTATCAACATAGGCGTCGCCTGTCAAAGATCTAAGTAGGTCTAGAGACCTAGACCTTTCGATTCTACCCTCCCCCTCTTACAAGCTCTAAATCATTGGAAATAACATGCTATTTAATCTAAAACAGATGCGATGGAAATAGAAAAAGTAAATGTCTTAGAAAAT